AGATCTACGCCATGAGCTCAGCTCACTCTGATAAGCTGTGAGCGGTAAATTTGGGCCTAGATATGAGAGAATACATCAATGTGGTATGTGTGCACCACATAAAACAAATCCTACATCACACAGTGCATAATGGGAAAAAAATGAGACCGTAATTTTCGATTAAAACAGCGACTTTGCAGTGTTTTTTCATATATTTTTTATAGTTATTTGCGATTTCTTGGTCTTCTTTGATAGAATGGAAGATATATTACAGAAATAGAGATGATTTTGATTGGTTTTAATATTGGAAATGGCTTGAAACGGAGCTCAAATTAGCAGGCGGAAATGTTAAATTTTTGCTGATGTTCAAGAGTAAACAAATGACCTCACATGTCTAATGCATGCCAGCTGGTGGGTCTAATATACGTTCACAAATGTGATATTATTTATGCAATTATTACAACGTTACGTAACAGTAAATCTTCTATTTTTTGGTTTGAATAAAAATTCATTGTGAATAAAAAATCAAAATGGAATTAGTTTGTAAAGCCTGAAAACATAATTAATGAACAGAGGAAATGTTAGTTTAGTGCCAGGAATACCTGCATTGTTTATCCTGGACCCTATTTTGAAATTGGAATATTTTGAACTTCGAGTTAAATTGGCCAAATTACCAATTTCTGGTCACTTTATTTTGTAGTTGAAACACTTGACTGTGATTTCTTGTGCTCAGTGGATAGAATAGAAGTAATACTAGTGAAATAGCTAAGAATTTGGTCGACTGGAATAATGTAATTGACCTAAAATGGGGGTCAATGTCGGCAAAATCGCTGATGTGTAAATATCGCCAGGCCAGCCCACCCTATCCACACGTAATATACTAGGATATTTAACCCTTTGAGGGTCTGTTCCATAGTTTTACGGTTTTGAAGCCAGGGTGCAAGCCATAGTTCTATGCCACAAGTTCAGCTCACTCAGATAAGCTGTGAGTGGTAAATTTGGGCCTAGATTTGAGAGTTCATCTATGTGTTAAGTGTGCACCATATAAAACAAATACTACAGTACTCGGTGCATAATGAGAAAAAAAAATTAGTCTGTTTTTGTTTCTATTAAAACTGCAAATTTGCGGTGTATTTTTGTATGCATTTTACAGTTGTATTCGCAGTTTCTTGGTCTCATCTGACAGAATGGAAGATGTGTTACAGAAATGGAGATTATTTTGATTGGGTTTAGTACTGAAAATGGCTTGAAACTGAGCTCAAAGTAGCAAAAATGTTCAAGAGTAAACAAATAACTTCATGTGTCCATTACACGTCAGCTGGTGGGTCTAATGTGCATCCACAAATGCGCTGACATTATTGATAGTTATTACAATATTGCATAACAGTAAATCTTTTTTTTTTTGTTGCGAATAAAAATTCATTATGTGAATAAATACATATGGAATTAATTTGTAAAGCCTGAAAATATAACTAATAAACAGAGGAAATGTTGCTATAGTGCCAGGAATGCCTGCATTGTTTGTTCTGGATCCTGTTTTGAAACGGAAATATTTTGAACTTTGTGCGAAGCTGGCCAAATTACAGATTTCCGATCACTTTATTGGGTAGTTCAAGTAGTTGATTGAGCTATTTCTTGTGCTCAATCAATAAAATAGAAGTAATACTAGAGAAATAGCTAAAAATTAGGTTGACTGGAATAATGTAATAGGTCTAAAATGGGAGTGAGGTGGACAAAATCGCCGATGCGTAAATATTACTGACCTTGCAAAATTTGTGAGAGCATAATTTCGTACTTTTTGTTTTATTACCTTCAGAAAAAGATTCTCTACCATTTCATAAGATTTTTTTTTTTTTTTTTTTTTTTTTTTAAATTCTGGGACCCTGTGGACAAGTTTCAGATCAGGGGTATGGACACGGAAAGGGGTTAAAGCACCCTCGAGCGATAAAATGCATATACAGTGCACTTATTACTTAACCTTAAAATATTTGTAGTCTTGACCCTTTCATTGTCGGTCCCCTAGTATTACGGCTTGCAAGCCAGTGTCGGTCCCGTAATATTACGCCTAAATTCTAGTCTCTTCAAATCTTGCCTGAGAAAGCTGGTAGGCCTACATATGAGAGAGTGGTCTGAGTGGTCAGTGTGCGCTTTATAAAAATAATCCTGCATCACGCAGTGCTTAATGAGAAAAAAAAAACTGACTCTGATTTTAGTTTAAAACACCAGTTTTGTGGTGTATGGTATTTATGGTTGTATTCCCATTTTCTTGGTCTCATTTGATAGAATGGAAGATATATTACAGAAATAAAGATGATTTTGAATGGTTTACAGACTAAAAGTAACTTGAAATTGAGCTCAAATTAGTGGAAATATTCGATTTTTGCCAATGTTCAAGAGTAAAGAAATCATGTCAGGTGTCCAATACACATCAACTGGTGGGTCTAATATGCTTTCACAAATGCGCTGATATTATTTATAACATTATTACATAATGCAGTAGTCTGCATAACAGTAAATCTACTTTTTTTTTTTTTTTTTAAATTAAAATGGAAAGCAAGTGTAATATAAGAGGGACCTGGAGATGTGACTAATGAACAGAGAAAACATTGTTTTAGTTCTTGGAATGTTTGTTTGTTAATTCTGGATCCTACTTTGAAATTAGCCTCACTCGAATTGTGTATGAAATTGGCCAAATTACCAATTTCTGATCACTTTATTGGGTAGTTGAAATCAATAAATGGGCAGTTTCTTGTACTCAGTCGATATAACAAATGGAGTTCTAGCAAAGTAGCTATGAGTTTGGTTGACTGGAACAAGGAATTGGCCGAAAATAGGGCTCAAAGTGAGCAAAATCGCCGATGCGTAGGCACCGCCGAGACTGCTAACTTCATGAGTGTAATTCTGTAAGTTTTACATCAAATTTCATAATTTTGGTGTTATTACCATTAGGAAAAGATTCTGTCGTTTCATAAAAAAAAAAAAAAAATTCTTTGGCACTGAGAGCAAGTTTGTGAGCAAGGGTCTCGACAGTGAAAGGGTTAATGTAGGGCGAGAGGTGAGTAAACAAGGTAAAATGAATATGAGAGAATGAGTAAATGAGAGAGAAGAGAGATGTGGAGTATGTAAACAAGCAGATGAACACGTCTGGTTTTGGTTCATACACTTTCATCTACATGTAACATCTCATTTGTCAACTGTGTTACATAGCTTATTATACAATTTTGAAAAAATATCATTGATGTTTATATTAACCCTAATATACGACATTTAATATGCCTTAGTGACTATTATTGCATACAGTGGACCCCTGACATTCGATAAATCAGACATTCGATGCATTTTAACACAAAAATTTCGCCTCGACTCGATGGAAAACCCGACATTCAATACGATTTGTACGAGACGTGTCCACGTGTGACCTGAACTGCCCCGTGTGTGCCAGTGTTTACAAGCCAGCCAGTGTGCGCGCATCTAAGGATACATTCGGTACATTCCATATCCATATTATCACTGTTTTTGGTGCTTGTTTCTGCAAAATAAGTAACCATGGAACCCAAGAAAGCTTCTAGTGCCAACCCTTCGAGAAAAAAGGTGCTAATGACTATTGAAAGTATTGCAAAGTACGGAAGTGGAGTGCATGTGTCGGAGTGCATGAAGATTTGGTAAAGAAATTGCCTGCAACTAGTGGTGATGTGAGTGAATTTAAGGCCAGCAAAGGTTGGTTTGAAAGATTTAAGAATTGTAGTGGCATACACAGTGTGGTAAGGCATGGTGAGGCTGCCAGTTCAAGTCATAATAGAAGTGGATTCCCCTTCTAAACACTAACACCATCCACACACTCCCCTCCTACCATCCCATCAATCATCACCAGATCTTCATTAAAGGTAAGTGTCAATTATTCTATTGTTATTAATCTATTGTTATTGTTGTTATTGTAATTATTCTATTGCATTAAACTTAATATTTTGTTGTAAAATTTCTTTTTTTCATACTTATGGGTGTCTTGCACGGATTAATTTGATTTCCATTATTTCTCATGGGGAAAATTAATTTGACTTTCGATATTTTCGACATTTGATGAGCGCTCAGGAACGGATTAATATCGAATGTCGGGTCCACTGTATTATTTTTTTTTTTTTCATTATTATTTTTATTATTATTATTATTATTATTATTATTATTATTAATATGACATCCTCAAGACTAATAAGATATTCTTAGTGATTTTAATGTGTACCTGCACACCAGCACAGTGTATAAGTTCATTTAGGTTATGTAAGTGTATTATTGTAAGTTCTTTTGTAAGTGTATTTCTGGGGATGTGAAATGGACTAGTCTGATTTACATTATTCCTAATGGGAACAAATTTGTTTGGCAACAGCACTCGAACAGCCTTCTGGAACGAATTATGGCCCAATTAGGGTACCACTGCATATATAAGTATAATTGTCATAGTACAGTGGACCCCTGGTTAACGATATTTTTTCACTCCAGAAGTATGTTCAGGTGCCAGTACTGACCGAATTTGTTCCCATAAGGAATATTGTGAAGTAGATTAGTCCATTTCAAACCCCCCAAACATACACGTACAAACGCACTTACATAAATACACTTACATAATTGGTCGCATTCGGAGGTGATCGTTATGCGGGGGTCCACTGTATGTATAAAACTCGAAATAGCTTTAAAACACTTGAAATTTTGGAAAGTTTACAGACATAATGAAGAGACGTGGTGCTCACGAAGCTCATGAAGAATGTAAACAAACCAAATGGGGTGCGGTGACTGTCTTAGAAAGTCAGATGGGGGGAGCCGCATAGCAAGTTTTGGTCATAATTTGAAATGTTTGTTAGTGGAACACTGTAAGGCAAAATGTTGTAAAGCAGGGCCCTACTGTACTGAACCTATTCAATCAATTTTACAAAAAAAACAAAAAAAAAATCTATATAGAAGGAACAGTGCTTACTCATTTTAGATTTACTAGCTTGATTTAATTTCTTAGTAAAAACCTTTAATTACAGGAACTGCAGCAGCCGACAGATAAACGGATGTTGGTGTTAGCAGCAGCGCTCAAGCAAGGCTGGGATATTGATAAATTATATAACCTAACAAGAATAGATAAATGGTTCCTTTACAAAATGAAAGTAAGTCTCATGAAGCTATATATTGGAACATATAAATAATCTTCCATATAAGTATCATTCATATTCATAGCTTGCAAAAAAGTATTGTTACAGGATTATTTAAAATATATTGGTATATTATTTAAAATGCAGTGGTATACTATTTAAAATATATTGGTTGGTAAGTAAGACACACAGGCAACAATTAGGCATAATGTTAGTGTATTGGTATACTATTTCAAATGTATTGGTATACTATTTGTGACCAGTCATTACCTAACAAACATTTAAATGATTTTAGATTAAAATTCATTGGTTTTGTTATAAAGACTATCTTGAATTTGAGTTTTGAATAAAAATTAAATGTAATTACTGCACTTTTGCCAGGTGTCTGGTTGAACACAGGTATTCTTCAGTTACAATGAATACAGGTCTCCCTCAACATTCGCATTTTCAACTTTCGCGGGCTTCACACATTCACGAATTCCCAACCGCCAAATTCCCAGCCGCCAAATCATATTTAAGTTTACCGCCACAAGTCCTTACTACCCTCCCTCCGACCCCTGCAACTGGCAGCCAGCCCTCCCACCACTGTGTGGTGAGTGTTTTTTGTTTGTTTATTATTTGCTATTAAACTAAAGTATAAATAATGTAAACCCATCCATGACTGCATATTAGAATAGCTATTCAGACAGGTATTGGAAGGTGACATCATGTGTTTACTCTTGAAAACAGCAAAGAATCAAACATTTCTGCTACTGCTAATAATAATAATAATAATTACGTATATTAATAATATAATAATAAAATAATAAATACGATAGAATTGAAGAAGGAAATTGTACAAAAATACGAGGGTTGAAGCAGTGGTGGAGGAAGTGGTTGACGCATCGTCAGTGTGGCTTTGTTTATGCTGGAGTGAGTATTAGTCTCCGTGCTCTTCCAAACATTTCACAATAATTCATTGTATTTGGTGATTGTAGATTGAGTGTGACTGGAGTGGTTGAGGCGGTGGTTGAGGCGGTGGTTGAGGCGGTGGTTGAGGCGGTGGTTGAGGCGGTGGTTGAGGCGGTGGTTGAGGCGGTGGTTGAGGCGGTGGTTGAGGCGGTGGTTGAGGCGGTGGTTGAGGCGGTGGTAGAGGCGGTGATATTTACTATCATATATGTTATAAATAATAATAGTACATTATGAATAACATTTATTATTATTATTATTATTATTACTATTAATGTTGTTAATATTAACATGTACTATTATTATTTATAACATATATGTTAGTAAATACCACTGCCTCGCCCACTGCCTCTATCACTGCCTCAACCACTGCCTCTATCACTGCCTCTACCACTCCGGTCACACTCAATCTACAAGCACCAAATACAATGAATTATTGTGAAATGTTTGGAAGAGCACGGAGACTAATACTCCAGCATAAACAAAGCCACACTGACGATGCGTCAACCACTTCCTCCACCACTGCTTCAACCCTCGTTTTTTTGTACAATTTCCTTCTTCAATTCTATCATGTTTATTATTATTATTATTATTATTTATTATTTATTATTTATTATTTATTATTTATTATTATTATTATTATTATTAGCAGTAGCACAAATGTTTGATTCTTTGCTGTGTTCAAGAGTAAACACATGATGTCACCTTCCAATACCTGTCCAAATAGCCATTCCAATATGCAGTCATAAATGGGTTGACATTATTTATACTGTAGTTTAATAGCAAATAATGAACAAACAAAACACTCACCACACAGTGGTGGGAGGGCTGGCTGCCAGTTGTGGTGGGTCAGAGGGAGGGTAGTAGGGACTCGCAGTGGTGGAGGCAGTGGTATTTAATAACATACATGTTATTAAGGCATAACGTATGTATTTAGTACAATTTACGACGTTTTCATGTATTTTATGATTGTTCATGGTTCAACAAGTTAAGGAAGCAGTATTGTATTATATTTCTCTACAATATATTGGGGCACCAGACATTTGCGATTTTTCAACATTCGTGAAGCTCTTGATCCTCTAACCCTCGTGAATGTTGAGGGAGACCTGTATTCGTTGTGAGGTTTGGACTTATATTCAGTATTGTATTCATTGTTGTAGCTCCTAGTCAGTTAAATTAAAAATCATTGTTAGTATATATGCATAAAGCTGAAGCATATTAAGATGAAAGAAAACCTTAAAATATTTTCTTACAACCTTCTACGGTTATTTGTTGCTTGTGGTCGATCAAGTGTTGGGCTATTGTAATAATAATGAATGTGGGGCAAAAACACCAGTGTTGAAATGTAAGAGTGTAGAAAAGTTGTAACAACCTTGCCACTATATGGGGTGCAGGCAAACTGTGAACCATTTCTATGTGCAGGTTGTTTGTATGTCAATATGTGAGGTATGGATAGATGAGGGGAAAAGTAAAGTGTTAAGAGTATGGCTTGTGGAACATGATAGTAAATTTTGGAGTCTCTCTCTCCAGCATCCTAAAGACTTTTGTTGGTATGTGTTGGGTATGGGTATTAAATTTGTTTGTTGTCTGCTGTTAAACTTAGGTGAATGCATTGACTTTTTTTGTGAGGGTCACCCTGCCTCAGTGGGAGATAGCCAGAGTGTTAAGTAAATTGAGCATAAACAGTGTAAGATGGCTCCTACTTTAGTTACGAAATTTTTGACTTGACAATGGCAAGTTTATTTTTGCATGATAAATGTTTGTATAAAGGAGTGTAATAATTTGGTGAACATGCCAAAGGCTCCTTCATATGCAGAGCATTTTGGGCATACTTAAGACAAACTTAAGATTAACCCCTAAACGGTCGAAACGTGTATATGTTTATGTTCTCTCTCCCAGTGCCCCGAATATTTTGAAAAATAAAAAGATTTTTTTTATTGAAATACTGAGAAAGTTTCTAAGTGTAATAGGATTAAAATAATAAAAAATTAGGGTCAGTACGTACTGAGATATGAGGCTGCAAAGTTGGCACTTAATGCTCACCTGATGGCAACATCGAGTCCTGCTGCTCGAGGAAGTGTTGCTGATGTACCATTTTTTCTCATTTTTATATTATTTTGTATAATTTTTATGTTCTGATAATTACAATTTATTGCATTTCTTGGCATTTCATAACCACTCATTGTTCTGACACTAATATTAGATACTGAAATTGTACTCAAATTATCACAAACACATTGACAGGTGGACATTTACACCTGCCTTGGTCATTTACTATTGTCTAGGAATATATACAAAGTATTCATAGGTCCCAGCAATGTTTTGAATACACAGAAGTATAGAAGAAGAATGGCAAAGGGAGGAGGAGGAGGAGGAAGAAGGAAGAAGCTCCCTTGAAGCAATGTGACAAGCATCTGGGAGGGCAGTGATGAGATAGGGGATGACATTTGATGGGCACCAGCGAGGGTGCAGAGATAAGATGAGTTAGTGCAGAGATAAGAGGAGATAAGCTATGACATTTGATGGGTGCCACCGAGGGTACAGAGATAAGGGATGACATTTGATGAGCTTGTATCTCTGTGTCTGATTATCTGTCTGTCTTGTTTCTGTCTGCTTGTCTCTTTCCATCTCTCTGCTTGTCTGTCTGTCTCAGAGAGAGCCACTGTGTACTAACAGGTATTCACATGCATTATATCTGCAATACACAGATAATCCGCACATAGAAGAGAGGAGCTTATGACGACGTTTCGGTCCGACTTGGACCATTTACAGAGTCGGACAAAGTCAGACCGAAATGTTGTCGTAAGCTCCTCTCTTCTATGTGCGGGTTATTTGTGTATCGTTCCAGTCACGGTATTGTGCCTTTTATTGTTATTATATCTACAAGCACAGTATAGCACTTCGGAATTTTTAGGTTATCCTAGGTAATTTACACTGTATAGTTGTATTTGTGTGTATCTGCGAGACATAAAAAGAGATACAGATAGACAGACACACAGACAGATACACACACAGATAGATACAAATAGATAGATAAATACAGAGATAGAGATAGACAAACCGTAAACTTGGGGTTAACATCACTTTCCTCTTAAAAGGGGAGTGTTAATATGACATTACATCAGTGAATCCTTGGTGTTTGCTTGAGCTGGCACTCAATTTAACTGGCGCTCCCACATGGTACTAAGTGGTCCCAAATTTTTTTAATATGGTGCACACTGAATGTTAAAACCCATTCTATGCTGACCAGGCATCTCAGGCCAGTCATGCCAAATTTGGAGGCAGGAAAAATAAAACGTACATGTGCGTTTGGGGCGCTAGCAGTAAGAACGTATATATGTTTGAATCGTTTAGGGGTTAATAAGGCAGTTACAGTGCAGTACAATATTACAATTTAGCACAGTTTAACCCTTTGACTGTTTTCGACGTATAAATACGTCTTACGAGCCAATGTTTCTGACGTATATATACTCAATAATTCTAGCGGCTTCAAATCAAGTGGGAGAAAGCTGGTAGGCCCACATGTGAGAGAATGGGTCTGTGTGGTCAGTGTGCACCACATAAAAAAAATCCTGCAGCACACATTGCGTAATGAGAAAAAAAAAACTCTGATCGTTTTTTTGGAATAAAACGCCGATTTTGAGGTGTATTTTCGTATAGTATTTATCGTTGTATTCGCGTTTTCATGGTCTTAGGTGATAAAATGGAAAACATATTACAGAAATAGAGATGATTTTCATTACTTTTACGATGAAAACGACCTTGAAACTGAGCTCAAAGTAGCGGAAATGTTCGATTTTTACCAATGTTCAAGAGTACATAAATCACACCACACGTCCAATACACGTCAACTGGGGAGTCTAATATTCTTTCAATAGTGCACTGATATTATTTATACCATTTTTACAATAATGCAGTCGTCTGCATAACAGTAAATTTTGTATTTTTTTTGTATGAATAAAAAATCAAAATAGAAAGCAATAATAATATAAGAGGGGCCTAGAGATGTGACTAATGAACAGAGCATATGTTATTTTAGTGCCACGAATGTCTACCTTGTTTATTCT